CGTCGTGTAAAGAGTCTCGCGCTAACAGAGATTGAAGATGGGTGCAAAGGGAGCTAAGTGTTGGTGGCAGGGCAGATCTGGTTTTAGGTTTATTCAAAGCGGCGGGAGCAAGTGACACGGCGGTGGGATTTCTTCACAAGAGGACGTGTGTGATGCGAGGTCTTCACCAATGACGTGGGGAAACCTAAATTTGGACGATTGGAGGAGGTTGTGGGTCGCAACCCGCCATGTACAACTTGATGATCCCCGCTGTGGGTTGGGTTCTTACTATGACGTCTCCAACATATATATTTTTTTTAAGTTCATTTTTGTTTTTGTATTTTGCATTTTTCATTGTGGGTTGGGTTCTTACTATGACTTCTCCAACATATATATATATATATATATTTTTTTTTTTTCAAATTCATTTTTGTTTGTGTATTTTGCATTTTTACCTTTATGTATTTTGAAAAAAAAAAGAAGCTAAAAGTTTGGTCTTCGTCAGAGATGAGTTGAAAATTTGGATTTAATAAAATGACTTTAACTAATATTTATTTCCTGCCACATCACTAAAATCCGTTAGGAATATAGACAGAATTAGACAAAAGTGGTATTTTGAATCGTTTTCTATAGATTGGGGATATCTTGAACCATTTTAAAATGTTAAGGGGCATTTTGAAACAAGTTACATATTTTATAGGGCATTTATGAAAATAATCCTTTTATTTCTCACTCTTAATAAATTTCCTTTTTTCCTAACAAACTTGAGAACTCATAGCAATTACTAGAGTCAAAATTGTGAGGATTTGAGCACAACATCAAGAGTGTTCAGAAAGCATTAGTTTACGAACATTAGTGACTCAAAATTTAGAAGCAAAAGATTAGTAATTTAATTAAAATTTACAAGAGTGAGAATTTCATTCCATCTCTTGAATCAAAACCTTGCCCCTATTTTCAGCTTTCTTCTCCACTTTCCTCGAAATATTAATGTAATCCATAGCGGAAGCCTTCTCTGCCCTTACAATTGCTGCCAAGGAAGACCAAGCTTCACCGGGTTGGTCATGGACCCAACACATGATGAAATAGATCTTCCTCTCAGCAAGCTTGAGCTTGTTCTTGATCTCCAACTTTCTTGACTTTTGCAATTTCTCCGATTTCAGCTCTCTTTCCCCAGATTGAACCAGCCGATATAAATCAGATAGCAAGCACAAGAGGGCGTTACCCCCTAAACTTAGTATGCTTACTACATCATCAACAAGACCTAATCTGAACTGCAAACCGCCAATGTGCCTGTAAGCTGGGGAGCAGGTCTGCTCCAAGCAATAAGATAAAGCCTCCAACACTGTCTCTGGCTGACCACCTTGACCCAAGACAGAGGACACACTTAACACCACCGTGGCCGATCCTATCGCGTCTGATTGCCAATCGCCATTGTAGAGGCGGAGGGTGAAACAGTAGCTATAGATGATGTCAACAAGATGAACAGCTAAAAGTGGTGATGGCGCTGTGGAACTTAGCTTGCTAACTGGTGGCAGAGGGCTTTCTGGCCCAGGAGGAATATCACTAGCTTGGTCGCTTTCGTTATTCAGCTGTGGTGATACCGACAGCTCGTCTTTGGAAAGAGGCTGGACAAGTTGAGTTCCTTCCCTGCTGAGAGATATTGTCCTAGCAGAAGGCCTCAACCACCATGGATCCCAAGGCTCAATCATCTTGCTGAGTTCTCCCGATGCAACAGCTCTTTGGAATCGTTTCTTCTCTTCTGCAGATAAATCCACAAAGCTGATTTGACCTCCTGCAGACATCAGTAGAAGGCTTATATTAGAATCAGGCAAAAGCATGGGGTCCCAAAAACAATTATCCACGCGACAAATCACTTAAAATTTATAACTCCCACGAAGAAACTAAGGGAGCAAAAGTCTGTTACTAGAGAATTTAAGAAAGTTACGCTAGCACTTTAAAGGTAAAAATAGATGCATCAGAGAAAGGATAGCATAGCAACGTACCAGACAAAAACTTTTGAATGGTATCCTCAGATAGAGTTGAATCTGCCAAGAAAGAGGAGACTGAGATCAACATAAAGCAAATTACACCATGTTTTCAGACAACATTGACTAACAAGTGAAAACCAATAGGAAGATAAAATCTTGTGTAAAGATGGCCGCAAATATGATTTCTTTTGGCGATTTTTAGGTTCTTCCATCTCATGCTTCTAGTGAGTAGATTTCATAAGGGACCAATAAGTCAACAAAGAGTAAGGAGGATAGCAATAATCAATCCCAGAAATCGTACTAACTCCAACAATTATTTATATTTCTTTTTGTTCATAAATCGGGTAGTCGCGCCGTCACAAGGAGAATAAAAAAGGAATAGATCCTAGCATATGAGATGTCTAATTGTATTGAAGGCGCACACAAAACCCAAACGAAGAAAAAAGGTTAAAGAATGTATAAACAAGAAATTTCTCATGTAAAAAGGCCTCAAGATGATCATAAAACTTAAAAAATGAGCATTCAATCAATGATATCTAATTTCCTCCTAAACTAGCTTAAAAGAAGAAAGTTATATATTATTGCACACCTTCCTCATCCATGTCTTCTGTTTCTTCTTCTGAATGAAACCTTTTTAGAATGTCTAGCATTTTCTCTTTCGTTTCATCATTGGGCTGCAACTGCCTAAGTTCCTCAACAACATTTTCTCGCATAAAGGATTCAGTACAACGAAGACTATGTGACTGTCGAAAAATATTAACAAAAGATTAGGTAGTAAACATCACTGAAATTCCATTAAAAGGGAAAGAAAAAGGCTCTTCCAACTTAGACTACCGCATAACAAAATAAGTAATAAGGATTCTATAACTCTATTATCGGATTTAGTCAGTTTTACACCTTTTTTTTTTTTTTTTTTTTCATTTTGATGTAATATTGACCAGATTTAAGCGCTTCCAACTTAGTGAATTGCATAACAAAATAAACAATAAGAATTCTATAACTCTAATCAGATTTCGTCAGTTTTAACATTTTTTTCATTTTCATGTGATATTGACCAGATTTAAAAAGCCTACCCTAGAAAGCTCCAATAAATAATGAGTAAAAAAAAAAAAAAAAAAAAAACTAGATGAAATTTTTATTAACAAATTTGGGGGGAATAGAAAAAAAATGGTTAAAATTTGTCTAAAGTTGAAAATCTAGTTGTTATCCATACCTCATGAGTACTTTTCTCTAACTTACCAACAACATCTTTGAATTCTTTGCGTCCAAAAGCAAGAAAAATAGTACTAAAAGATGAAAATGCTATAAAGAAAAACGCCAGAATACGTTATTAGTTTCATGATATCTTTCTTATGTTGAAGTTTTTTTTTTTTTTTTTTAACATTTATTTAAAGTTCTAGTTTTGGGAGTGTTTTTCCTAACCATATCGAATTCAAATTGGTTTAAGAATGAGAACACTGGCTCACCTTGTAGCAGTGCAGAGAACAGTATCGCGAATTGCAACGAGGACAGGTATATTGCGAAAATTGCTTCTGACATCTGAATTGTACAAAAAAAAAAAAAATCAAAATCCGAGGATGAAAAAAAGAAGCAGAAGAAATTTGGGAAAATTGTCGCGAAATAAAGTTGTTTGAGAGGGAGGACGTACACGTGGCAGGTTATCCGAGAAGGAGGGTTTAAAGGCGAGGATTTTGAGGGTTTATCAGAGCTAATAACTGCGTCCGCCATAGCCAGAGCTTAGTTGGAGCTGGGTGTTTCGTGAGAGATTTCTCAAGACTTCTTTCTCTTCTTTTCTTTTCCTTTCTTTTTAATAATTATAAATAAATGTTGTTTGTGATTTCCTCCAAAAAAAAAAAAAAAGGGGAAGATTGTGGACGTTTTGAAGGTTCTTATTAACCGTTGAGAATTGCCCTTACCAATTTTCTGTCGTTTAAAAGAAATGATGACGCTTTTCTTATTGCTGTCGTTTTCTTTGTCTGCTATCGTTTAACAGCCACTTCAGTTTCCAGGATATATTTTCGTTTTACAATTTTGTCGTTACTTGAGCTATTGTCGTTTTAGACTTGTATTGTGGACTAGTGATTCCTACCTTCTATTGTTTCTAGATGATTGTTAATTGTACGGTATGCAGTCATTTTTTTTTTTAATCTAATGTTGTTTTTTTTTTTTGGTTACTGTTATTTTCCGTCATAAACGAGAGGTACTACGATTGTACATTGTCGTTTGTAGTGTATCTATTCTTTAGATACCAATTCAATTGTCATTTTTATGATTATGCCTTTGAATTGAAATGTGGTCGTCTAAGGGATATGTAAGTTTGTAGCATGAGATGTCGTTTTTCTATGTTAATGTCGTTTTTTATCCTCGTTGGGATATATAGATAGATCATATCATATGAACATTTACTGCGTTTATATCATGCTATTTGAGTGAAGCTATAGAGTGGTTACATGCTTATGTGGAAAAAAACTGGAAATAACTGGCACTATTGGGGGTATATTCTGCCTTCTTAGACAATATCCTCTGCTTCTTTTGTACATCTTCAAAGATGTTGTATTGCATAGCACGCCAATAAAACTTTTGGTTACCAGGCAACTTGTTTTGACTCTACTGTAAACACATCTTTACAGTTATTATATATATATATATATATATGCTAAAACTTAGAAATTAGACCATTTCTGCCTAGAATCTTACGGTTTAACCCCTTTGAAGGGTCTTCATGGTTTCGTCTTCTATGTGTTCATCATCAGCCACAGGCTTGAACTGAGCCAAATCCGCTAGTTCTTCTACAGCATCGACAATGCCCTCGATCCGCGCAGCGTTTTCAATCAGCAAAGAAGTTAAAGTCGCTAGAGGAACTATTTCCATGAGAGAGGCTGAGGCTAATCCAACGGAATTTTCCTTAGTTTTCTTACTATCTTGAACATTTCCAGCTTCTTTTGGTGTCTCTGGAGTGACTAAACTAGGAAGAAACTTCAACTCATTTCGGAGACCTTGAACTCTACTGTTCATTTGTTCAGCTAGGAAATCTATACTTGAGGATTTCTTCATTGTCTTGACAATGCTTGCAAGCTCTTTTATGACACTTGAAGAGTTGGAGCTCAATTCTAAACAAATATTGCTCACACGCGTCTTTAGGTGCTCCGGGGCCTATTGTTTATCCAAGGATCTTGCTTTAATATCAGATTGTTATAAACCAATTATATATAAAGAGAATTCTGTGGTAAGGTATGAAAAAAGAAAAGAAAAGAAAACTATTATACTTTTATTAATCTGATATAATTTTAACGTGATATGATGGTTCTTAAATGTATTTCTTTTAAATACCCTATTGAAGAGTTCTTCCATACAAGATAATTGAGAACCCTGTGGTTACCTTGTTCTCAGAGCTGATGCAGCCATTGAGAGCCTCAATGCAATAAGCACAACCGCGCATTTCTGTCCCCATTTTGAGGTATTGCTTCCACGGATGCCGAAAGTTGAAGCGGCCATGTGCGGGTTCCCACCTAGCAATATTAGCCTGCACAAGACAATTCCCACTTTCAGACAAGTTAATAGATTGATAAACTCATTCACGAGCTGACAAACTCATTTTCAACTACTTTTGTAACTTGGTCTAACTTAATACCATAGATTCTTCTGGTGCTTTTGAATTTAGCACACATTTGTAGCCTAACAAGTTTTTGCCACATCCTTTTTGGCTGCCGGTAGAGTCTTCTTCATTGCTGATAAAGTATTCAGCCACACAGCCTGAAATATACAGAAGAGGTTGAGGATCACATGGATTGTTAATGAGATATTGTCATAATCTTATTAACGGTCTTTTTTTGGTATCTAAGAAAAGTATATTATATATATTTACCATCTAATGAGTTTGCAAGCTTGTCCATGTTACGAGTGATGAGTGTATGGAGCTCCTGGCCAGCCCAAATGGGGCAGATAATTATGCTTATGATAATACACAAGGAAGTCCCAATGAAGACGGTGGATAATCTTTGGCGGGCCATGTCAAATAACTTATCTATCCGGTAACCCGAAACCGACACGAAGCTGAAGGTGAGGATGAAGATCATACAACCGTAATCAAACCGGGCTTTTATTGTTGGAATGAATCTAGAGAAGGTTGCTGCAGAAGCTGAAAGGAAAACAACAATTCAATAATGATCAGTTTTTCATCCTCGCAGTTTGCCGCGTGTTTTCTAAAATGACAAAAATATGCGAAAACACCGTTTTTTTTATTTATTTTTTATTTGAGTATACAAATGGAGGGATATCTTTGTCTTTTAAAAAGACACGAGGTGAAAACCTGCAAGTCGCTGTGGAAACAAAGTTTGACATACCTAAAATAAAAACTGAAACTCCCATAATGAATGGCTCAGATTTCTCTCCTGCTTGAATGGCAACCCAGTGAACCCCAACTGCAATAAAACCAGCTAGAAAAGTTCCACATATTCTGTTCAAACTCTTGCTAAGTGTTGCACCTGCAATACATGGAAACATTATTAATCACATGCAATTAGTCAGTTTTTACGTTGCACGCATTTATAAGATTTGACACAAGAACTTTTGATCTATTAACAGCTTTAACTAACTTATCATGTGGAGAACTACTAACCTACTGTGTTTTCACACACCACCACAACTGTCATAACTGCCCACATGGCATTTCCTCCAACACCATCATACAAAGGCCTGACATAGTAAAATAGAGAGACAGCAGTGAGAGCCAGCCCTACTTTCAAACAATGGATCACTTTTCTTGGATCATTGCAGGCCAAATCCCATGCTTTCTTAAGGAAATTCAAAGGTTTCGAAAACATCCTTTCCTTTAGACCAAGCAGCACTCTGCTGATCATGTAAGGACCTTCCTCTGGAGACATAACTTTGGACAACGTCTCGTTATCGACCCTCATTCTCCACTCCCATCCGCTTGTTGCTTCCTTCTTCGCAACAGCCATAATGTTTTTGGAATTGCCAATAAAGGACTTTCTCACTGTTGGTGTATGTTTGAGTGAAAGACACCAAACAATGAGAGAGGCCTGAATTTTGTTGTGTGTAGTGGGAATGGTTAAGATTTTGGGGTGAGGAAAAAATGAGTGACTATTGATGTGTATATATACAACGTGAGTATTTGGTAATTGGTATTATATTATATGTTATATTGTTCATGTGGTCCCTAGTAAATAAACAAGAAAATCTCTAAAGTAGTATGTCATTGTGAGTCTGGAAGCCAAGGGTCCTTTATAGTTTTTGCTGTTTTTAGCTTATTGTGTAGGTAAGGCTGAGACTCTAGGAACGATCGGCCTAAAACTTACATCATATTCTGCCTCAATTCTTATGCTTACGTGCATCTAACAAATATGTAATTGTGTCCATTCAGAAGGCACATATAGATATACATATATATATATATATGTGCATGTATATAGATATATTGTCTTTTTCTATTTTTCTTATGGGGCATATTCCCTGCAAGTTCAATCTTTTCCTGTTTTTTTCGCTGATTCAAATTTAGAATTCTAGTTTTTCTACAGTAAAAAACTCTCAGAAACAGTCACATTTAACTTTTTTATTACAATAAAAAGCTCTCACACAACATCACATCTCAACTCAAATTAAAAACTTGAATTAGCGAACCGAACGGGTAGTCCCTGCAAGTTCAATCTTTTAGTCCCTGCAAGTTCAATCTTTTAGTCCCTGCAATATTAAGTTTCCTCTACAGAGATTCAGAGAACATAGGTCTTAATAAGTTTGGATGAGAATGAAAATACAAATTTTGGGATGTACATAAATTTCTTTTCTTAGTATTGGATCAATGATGAAAAAAACAATAATCAGGACCGTGGAAAAAAACTTGTTTGCTTCTGCTTGATAAAAGTCTGAAATTTTTCAACGTGTGAGGTTGTTTTTAAATCTCATTTGTGTCATTACTTTTAAACATTGTGTTTTGACTCACAACAAGCAAATTAATGCACAAGGTTAAGCTGTGAAAGCTACATTTGAGAAATATAAACAAATAGCAATTACTTGGCAAGTACAAGTCAATTAAACATCCAACATATCTTGATAACTGCCATGTATCATTGCACAAACTATATAAATTCTGCAAAAGCTTCATTTTTTTTTTTTCATTTGCCCACTTGGATTTTTTTTTTTTGATACACAGGAAAACTCTACCTTGCCAGTTTTTGATTTAGTAACATGATTTTAAAAAAAAATAATAATAACTTTGGACAACACGTCATGGTTTCATCTTTCAGTAAAAAGGCATGAAATCCTGCAAAGACAATGACACTATATTATTCCCTTTCTTTTTCTTAGCCACCAAATTCTCCATAGATGGGGAGGTTATCTTTTTCTAATGACCTAAAACCAAGCTTAATTTGCCAGTAGGTGGCACAATGTGGCCCAAAATGGAAAAAGTAAATATAGCAAACTGAGATAGTGCCATTGTGCTTAGTGATGCATGAGCTTCCAATGATCTTTTCCTTTTTTTTTTTTTGGCTGCTAATTAATAAGTTATGTTGATCTTGAAATCATACATTAATGGCTTTTATTCTCTTGTGGGGGTATTTTAATTATATTGATTCTCCTTTCCTATCATGAGATAAGCTGACCCAACTTATTGCATAGTCTTCTATGATGTTGAAAGCTGTAAACAAGATTAAGTACACATATTACAAGTGCCTAAATTAGATTGTAATCCACCCAATAGAAAAGTTTTTGGGAAAGAAACGACACATATAAAGAAGGAGAAAAATATCAAAACCTTGAACAAAATATACTTAGTGGGGAACCCAATATATATCTACATTAATTAAAAATTTTAGTAGTAGTTTGTCAAACCATTTTTTTTTTCTTACGAAGGGAATGCAAGGCAAATTAGGTCATGATTCAGACCGTTCAAATTCAGGTTTGTTCCTATTTTTGTTATATAAACAGCGTGTGGTATTGCTTTTGTTGTAATCTCATTTTAATGGAAAGAGCACTTATCTCCTCAACACCGCGAAGTGCTTTTGATTACTGCATGCATTGATTGAAAGGTTAATTGAACTATCAAAAAGTAGCACCGATACTACCCCAAATAGCTAGACAATTCCCTTAATTATATTTAAATATATATATATATATATATATATATCTATATATTAAAAGGCTCATGTTCTGTTAATACAGTTGTACAATTGCACTGAAATTAAGCTAATTTTTCTTTACAAGAAACCGTACTTTTCTCTATGTCATATCATGCTTCTCGTAAATGTACACCTATATATAAATATTTATTAAGTAAATGGAATGAAGCATCTCGTAAGAAATTCCTCTTCTCATATTCAGCTTGTGTGTGATTCAAAGAATGTGGACTAATAATGAGTTGGACACTTGGGATAATCATGCCGAATTAGGGTTCATTCTTCAACATCCATGAGGCTTACTGAGGACTAGCTGGTGAAGATGGTCTTAGTAAGAAGAAAGAAAATTCATTACTAGGGTTAATTTTACATATATAGCCTGATCAACATGTAAAAGACCAAAGTACCTCCAATCAATTTTCATAGCCTGATGAGAATACAGACTAAGGGTATGTTTGTTTCCTAACTATAATAAAAAAGTTGAATTTGAATTTTTGTGAAGAAAAATACTGTAGCTAATAGAATTTGAGTTGTGACTTGAATTGTGAAAAGAACAAGGCCTAACTCACTCAATTCTTTTCCGAAACTCCATTGTGGGTCTCGTGATAGTTGCGAGAAAAACTCGATGTTCAGGTCAAAAATCACTCAAAAAAAGTTAAGAGTAAGTTCAAGGATCAGAAAAGCATACATATCTCCCGCCAATATTCTCTCATATTTACAGGCATTGGACCACGCAGGAGGCTAATTAGGCTCCGATTAATCTTGATCGTAGATTTTTATAACGAATTAATCTCAACCCCATGTCTCCTATTTTGAGTCTCATGCACGCACGCTCACACGCTTCTTGACAAGCTAGCTTTGCATTGTCTTTTAAGGTTTACTGGTGGTAACCCGAGGTTTGCTAATTAACCGATCTTTGGTTTAATTAAGTTGAACACTGTGCCCTTATGTCACGTCATCAGCTAATACCACACGACGTATTAACTAACTAGGACTTAATTCCACTCACATCACTAACACTAACGAATGTTGGCTTTCCATTTGCCTTTTCTTTTTGGCTTTTAGCTATAGTTGCATGGCAATTTTGAGTTGTTTATTAATAACTTAAGCATTTTAGTAATTTCTTTTTGGCATATGACTACTTTCGCCCTTGCATCATTAGTTAGCAAAGAAGCACAACTTGTATGTACGTAAATTAAGGACTAAAGTTCGAACATAAAGGAAGCTAAAATATCATAAAGTTTCACGCATCACAACAAGAAGAAAAAAAAAAGGTTTTCATCTTGGCCTACCTGTCAACTTCCTTAGTTAATCTAACAACAAATTTCTTTACTTTTGATTATGAAATGATTTTTAGTACATGATTGCCATCACACACAAGACAATTGTAATTTGGTACAAGAACTACAGATCATATGAATCCATGAAGCTTTTTGCTTAATGTGATAAGGAAGAATGAATATGATAAGGAATACTAAAATATTTGTCCATGCAGAACAATATAAAACCATTACAACTTAATTAAATACACACACAAAAAAAAAGCAATTTAATTTAGGTGAGAAACACCATGCATCACTAAAACTCTCTCTCTCTACACACACACACACACATATAAATATGTATATATATATATATATATATATTTAAAGAAATGGGGCTTACTTCCAGTAAGAATTGTGAGAGCCAAGGAGAGAATTTTGGAGTTCAAGAATTCATTTATCTCCAACTAGTAGTACTAATGATCAAGCAGGTAAGAAAATCTTGGAACAGAGACTTTTTTAGACAACTCTTTTTTCTGTTAATTTCTTGTTCATCCCTAAACATACCTCAATAAGCATTTTTCTAGGTTGACTGTACGGTGCTCAACTATTGCTGAAAATAAGGAATATCAATTTTAATCAACGTTAATATTGTTTCCAAATAAATAGCAAGATCAAAAAAAGATTACCCCAGGCTTGTTGGAGAACTGTTTCTTAAATTTTTTTGCATGAGTTATTAGGAATTACACCCTGATTTCTAGTTATTAGACCAGAGGAATGAAGACAGAGAAAAATATGATAAAAGGAAATTACTAATGGTAATCTTGCAGATTACCTGTTTGACCGGTAAGAAATTTAATAAAAACAGATATTGTTGACCTTTGACTATTATTATCATTTGCAGAAAATATTGGCACCGACAAAGTTGCAGTCCTTTATTTGATTCTTCTCGTTTTCCAAGGATATTGTCATTTTCTTTTAATTTTTTTTAGACTCGATGTCGTTCATCATTTACTTTTCATATTCGAAATTTCTCGTCGCTTTTCAAGTTATACGTCGTTCTTGGGATGTTATATCGTTCTTGCACTACTGCTGTCGCTTGGTTCAAATTATGTTGTTTTAATTCATTGTCGTTAGTCTACTTGGTATTTCTTGTTTGGTAAATCTTCTCAAAAGTATATTTTAAAAAATTTTTTAAGAATCTACAGTCAAAATCAGAAGCAGCATAAAGACAACTTCAGCTTTTAGATTGTGCAGGAATCAACATAGTACAATTAATGAAACTTTCATAATACCCATAATACCCCTAATGAAATTTAAAATTTACAATCTTCCCAATCTAAAATTCATACTCGTAATATAATATAATAGTAATATTATAACAAATAATATCATAATTATATTAATAACTATAATATTATTATTTTATCATATAATATGATATTATAATAATATTATAATTATTTTAATAATATGATATTATAA